CAATATCTTTAAGTTTTCTGGAGTGAACTCTCGCTGTAAAGAATAACAATTAAGCCACACAGTTTTGAAAAACAACTCAATTTTCAATCTTTAGAGGAAGATTTCAATTCTTAAGAGTGAGATTTCACTCTAAAAGTTATAAAGAGCATACACACATAACACTCACACATAATATACTAACTAATATATAAACATCCTAAAAATTATTATTTTAGTTTATTCGTTAAAGGCAAAACAAAGGGAATGCCTCAAACTTGGATATATTAAAATGGAATTTTATGTATAATATTGTAAAAAGTAATGAAATCGAAAAATGATTGAATTTTTAACCGGATATTCTGAACGGGAAGATAACGTAATTTATTTTTAATCTAAAAATACATATTACGGTATTATAAGCATTGCTACGTAGAAATAGATTGCGTACCTATACTTTTGCCCTTTAGAAATAATATCGTAGTCGCAGAAATTGCCGTTTCTCGTAAAAGCAGTAATTCAATTTCTATACGAAATAATGCGCAAACATCACTATAATTGTATCACGATTCAGATTAAGACATTAGATGAATTGTATAGTCTTTATCAAATTTTGTTTTGACAAACTTGCTCGATATTTGCTCATGTATTAATTTTGACATAATTCTGTTCACATTCGCTCTTCTATATAAGCTAAGTGATATAATTGTCGGTGAATGGAGCACGCGATGGTACTTAATCCGTCAATTATCCACCTGAGAACTTCCGTGAAAGCTCCGCGTTTCGTAACAGGAAGCTTAATCTAGTAATAATAATAAAATGAGAAACCGAATGTAATCAATATCAAAATTAAATTTGTCTATTCCAGACTGGGAACATTAATATTAACATTAAATGTAAAATTGGAAATTTAAATTTTGCAATTATCAATAACACCAGCAAAATTAATTAATTTATATTATATTTCAAATTGATATTTTATCCTACAATGTGATATCGATAAAAGCGGAATACGTTGTGGATAAACGAAGAGGCGTATATTTCGCGTATCTATTTAAAAATTTTAAAAACCACAATTGTGTCTAATTACATCATCGTAATTTTATTTTCGTTACATGAAGCATTACAGAAGTTAACGACCGACGGTACAAATTTATCATCTGGGTAGCACAATTTAATTGCGCGCGTATTTTAGCTCGCCAAAATTTGACGGATTCAGGGTGCGGTTCGTAATCTTTATCGTGAAAATATTCTCGTTGAAAATTCAGTACGGTTTGAATATTTTCAATATAATCCTTTTTCTTACGTTAAGATTGTAATTTATGCATTGCTTTAATTATCAGCTGTCTTTTCAAAGTTATCGTAAACATGTTACGCCATCCCAGGTGGGAACAAATGATGACTTGCAAGAAAAAAACCAATCCTAAAGTGTAGCACGTGATTTATTATTGTTTGCACTTGTTTGCATCAAGAAATATAATAATTATTAAATTATCAGGTCTCCTCTGGCTACAATCTTTATTTATGTTTCTGATAAACATGCGCAATTTTAGTAATTTTATGGATACAGTATGGATAGAAATACTCACATATATGACAGATAAATTAAAAAGCAAAACATTATTCTAGATCTAGATATAGATAGGAGTTTTAGGAATAAATTCCGGATAATGACTTGGCATTTACTAAATTAAAGTAACGCGAAAATATAGCTCATTCCGAGTAATAATTACTTTATCATTTATTTATGACAATATTAAGTAACTCAAATTTGTTTTAATTGGCAGATAACAAGTAAAAAGAAGTCACGATAAATAGATAAATGTATATATGTAGGAGGCAATAAAGTTATCAATCTGTTTGTTTGATATGCTTGTTTCCGTTTGTTTGATTATAGTATCTGAATGTATTCGCAATGTGATTAGCACAAGTACATGAATCACGCTGCATCATGCTATGAAATTTTGACGGAAACAAGCATATAATAGATAAATGTATATATGTAGGAGGCAATAAAGTTATCAATCTGTTTGTTTGATATGCTTGTTTCCGATTATAATATCTGAATGTATTCGCAATGTGATTAGCACAAGTACATGAATCACGCTGCATCATGCTATGAAATTTTGACGGAAACAAGCATATGTCCTTTTTTTTTTATAATGCAAAAGGCAACTGTAGCTTACGTATATACTTTACATAACTATTACTCTCACAAAAAAAATTGGTAATTATAGACCACCGCGAGTTCTTGTTAGCAAAAGCGTAATTGTATATACAGCGAAATTCTGCGAAGTCTTACTTATTCTAGTCATCGAAATTGGAAACGACGATTCGTGGAGTTTGCAATGTGCAAAAAAACATCCGAATCCGTTTTCTTTAAAGAAAAAAATTCATGAATCACATGACGATGATATTCGGAATAAAAAAATCACAATAGATGCATATCGAGAAGCGAAACCACGATAATGTCAAATAAATCATGAGACTCGTATTGTCAATCAGTATAAATACATATTTGTAAAATATTTATGTTTGTTTTGCAAATTGTTAATTAAAACATTAAATGTTTGATTTACTAGCTAAAATAGTTGTTTTTTTTTACAAATTTTTATTAGTGTTACAGATTAATTTTTTATCTTTTTCCCCAGTTCTAAAAATTAGGAAAAGATGAAGAATAAATTAAACCAAGTTTAATGTTAATCTACAATATTGTGGAAATGCAGGTTTTTAGTGATCAAGCCCGCTATTAAAGAAATGCTGTTGCGTATTACGTATCTAAATTCTAAATGTCATTCCATTCAGTCGGCTAATGAACGTAATGACTATAAACATAGTTCGCGATTAATACGTCGCGGGCGAGTTTGTTGTATAAGTTAACCCGTAACAATGCAGGTTAAATGCTGAGATAATTGATGAATAAGAGCCGAATAAGAGCCAGCAGTCCCCACGGTTCGTGTTTACTGAATTGTCCGGTGAAATTGATTAACATACAGCTGCAGCATATATTTCACGGACGAAATAACACTGTGTATAATATGATTTTTTAAACGTATTGCGATCTCGTTTTTTCAAAAATACATTTTTACCTTCTAATAGATTTGAACATTGTCTTAACCGACAATGCATTTTCCTGGTCTTTTTTTGTTTTTTATAAAATTCTGCGAAGGCTTACTTTTTCCAGTCATCGAAATTCGAAACGACGATCATCTTCGTGGAGTTTGCAATGCCCAAAAAAACATCCGAATCCGTTTTTCTTCTATAAAAAAAAATGCATGAATCGCATTACGATAATATCCGGAATAAAAAAAATTCACAATAGATGCATATTGAAAAGCGAAACCGCGCAAAGATAATATCAAATTAATTCGACAGGAATCAGCTTTACATTTGCATTTATTGCCACACACATAACAAATAACTGTATATTTTAAATGCATTTACATTTTACTATTTGATGTATGTTCTGCGAAAAATGTCTGACAATTATTAACGAAGTTAACGCGAAAAGCTGACAATTTGATGACTAATTCATTCTTACTGCTTGCAAGACGAAGCACGTGTAAGCGATTACGAAAACTTTTTGTCAGCTTATACATAATTTACTATTACACATTTTTATCTTGTACTTGAATTACAAAAAGACTAGATAAAAGCTTGTTTATTAAGAATAAGAAAATTTCGTAAAAATAATTCCTTTTGTCTTGTTTGTACTTTTATATTTGAACTATTGAAGGGACGAGGGATGGCTGCGATAATAAATTGAAGTGTTATGTTCCAAGATGACCTCATACATCTTGTGACGTATCATAAATCTTGCTTATCATTTTTCTTCTGTGTTCTGAATTTTGTTTATGATTGTAGGAAAACTATACTCAAGTTACGCATCATCTTTCATTATGGTCGCTTCTGACGTCGAAAAACGATTCCAAATTTGCATGGCAGGTATTCTCGGTTGAGTCTGGTAACTGCTTCTAACAGAGATTTACGATGTAGATCAGTATCTTTCAACATGTATTATCATTGCTTCTCTAAGCCAAAGAGAAATTCAAACTAATATGATCAATTTCATATAAAACGAGAATTTCGCGTTGCATTTTACAGTAAAGATCTCACTAAAAATATTAATTGTATCTGAGATTATTGTCTTAGATGTAGTAAAATCTTATTTTGTACATTGCACTTTCCCGCATAATTAATATCATTAATGAATTATGCAATTGAGATGTAATCTCTCATAGGAGAACAGAATAATTTTTAAGATATTGTCTCTACGACAATCAGACCTGAAAGATTAAGATAATAATGTATAATTTTTACATTGTTGTTAAATACTAAATAACTTATTTGAAAACATTTCAGACAAAGAAAGTTCTGTGAATTGTGAAATTTATTTTAAATGACAGAATGAATTTTAAAATTACTTAAGAAAATGATAGTCAAAAGATAACTGACAAAATAATTTTGTGACTGACTCATTCCGAGATTAGATTGCTGGACCGCACATTC